CTATTTTCTAGTGTTTTAAAAGTTTTTTTTTATTTATTTGCCCCATATGTTAAGTGTTTTTAAAGAGTGAATGTGAGGGGCCAGCAGTTGGCATGGTGGTTAAGGTACTGGACTCATGCATGGCCAACCATTGTTTGAGTCCTGGATCTGGTGGCTTGCTTTTGCACTTTCCCTTTCTTTTTCTCTCTGTCTCTCTCTGGTGAGCACATATGCCTTATAACAAGTTAAAAAGTAATAATAATGATAAATAAAATAAATAATTATTTTAAAAAGATAAAGAGTAAATGTGAAAAAACATTTCCTACCCCTTTTTTTTCTTTTAGAGAAAATTAAAAGAAGAATGGGAAGAACAGCAGAGAAAAGAGAGAGAAGAAGAGGAGCAGAAACAGCAGGAGAAGAGAGAAAGAGAGGTGATTCCTGTCATAGGAAGATAAACTTACTGAGTATCCTCTTAGTGTGTACATGTGCTGTGTGATGGGTTTGAAGAACCAGCTGTAGGCATGCTAGTCTGTTTCTTTTTTGTTGTTGCTTCATTTGTTTGTTTGGAAAGAGACATATTTTTAGTCTAGATTACACTAGAGTTTCCTTATGATGCTCTTTTTTATGTCCGTGTGGTGGCGGAGTCCTTACATTAAGGTTTTCTTCACCTTTTCTCAATTTATGCTTTACCAGGGATTGGCAACCTTTTTCTGTAAAGGGCTAGGAAGTAAATACTCTAGGCTAGGAGGTCTGCTTCTCTTACCCCTCCTTGACTACTTTATAGAAAATATCTTTCATGATATTTTAAATCATTTATAGTCTTAGAGGCAAATATCTAGCTCTGCTTGTGTATCCTGAAAATAGCCATAGATAATATGTAAATGAATGAGTACTGTATTCTAGGAAAACTTTATTTTCAAAACAGGTAGCTGGCCCTTGCTTTATATACCACTCTATAGCAAATGGTGTTTTTCTGAGTCTTGGCTGTGTATAGGTTGACTTCTTTAAAGAATAATATTTTATGTAGTTTCCACATTCATTTAGTTCAGAAGAGAATTAACTGCTTTTGAAATGTCAGCAAGAATTAATTGATTTAAATAAATCAGAACTCAGATATCGAGGAATCAGGAAATATTTTTTGTTATCTTTATTAAAATCTATGTTCTTTCCAACTTGGGTATTTTAGTTAACACTATAGTTGCTCATTTCAAAACAAAACAGAACAAAACAAAACTAGGGCATATGTATTATTTCATCTCCATCTTCCAGCATTCTTTTTCTTTTTAAGTTTATTTCTTTCATGTGTGAAAGAGAGAGACAGCACTCCAAAGAGAGTCTTAACTGCCATGATTTACCCCCCAGCTTCAACCAGCCCCAGAAAATGAGCATGCATGGGAGGTCTCTGGACACAGACAAGAACCTTGTGATATGGGTCAATCTCACAGAATGCCATGATTACTACTGTGCCACTATCCAGCTCCCAGGATTCTTCTTAAAAGATTAATTTGGTCTAGTTTGTTGCTATTCCTTAATAGTGTATTTATTTCAAAGATACTACAGATTTTTTTTTTTTTTGACTGGTTTATCAGGACGTATCTTTTCTGTAATATTGCTAGATTTGAAGGGAAAAAAGTTTTAATTACAAATAAGTGAGTGGTGCCCAAGTGAAGCCCTTCAGATTTCCACTTTTCTGTTTAGCTTACATTGCAGAGATACACGAATAAACCACCATATTGGAACCCAAGTTTTAGGAACTCATACAAATATTCTAGATAAATGAGTCTTACCCCCCTGTTTCCTCCTTTTCTTTATCCCAGTCAATCTGAGAGTGATTAACTTGTACTTCTCATTGCCACTAGCCACTACACACAACCAGTCATGTAGATGATGGCTCTTTGAATATATTTTGGTGAGATACTTCCAATACCTTTTGTAAAAAGTCACCTCAGAGGTTACAGTGATCTTGCTCTGGCTTCTTTCAATGATCACAATTCCTCCCCGAGATTCTCAGCTTTTCTCTTCACTCTGGTTCTCTCTTAGAGAGAATGAATCAAATATTGCTCAAAATTGGCAGCATTTCATGATTCCATCTAGTGCCTGGGGGATGCAGCCAAGGGTGAACTTGAGAACCTCCTTTTGTTTTGTTTTTGCCTCCCTCCCTCCTCACCATAAGCTTTTACACGGGTACCGTAGTGGCTGCAGGAGCAGGAAGGGCAGCACTGTCTTACATTCACTAATATCTCTTCTTAAAAACTGAAAGGCATATGCATGCTCAAATCTACTAAATATTACTGTTACTGAAACTTAAGACTTGTACATATTTTGTAATGTGATCTGTTAAACTTTCTATCTGCATAGAAATTCTCAGCTATATGTCCTTTGAAAACTTTTCAGATTTGTGCTTAGCAAGCAAATTAGAAAGCAAAGCCTTTCATGTGGGTATATGCATGCATGGGTGCATTTTAATTGTTACACCTGAGATTCTTAACCAGAGAAACCAGATGTGACTTTCCTGACTTCTAGATTTTCATTAGTCCTATGTTTGAACCATTTGTAGGAAGCTGCACAGAAGATGCTGGATCAGGCTGAAAATGAGGTATTTCTAAAACCTTTTATAAAAAATTTCAGACCAATTCATATTTCTTTAGAAATAGTAGTTCCACCAACACTGGGTTTGTGTTGGCTATTTAGATCACTGTTTAGGTATGACTTTTGTGACTTTTTGATTTATATAACAACAAAATTTTTTAGTGAACAAAAACAAATGGTGTCAAATCATATCTGTGGACTGTTCTTATTTAGAATCCTTAAAATGTATGGAAGCAACATTACATGTTAGCTCCAGATGAATGGTTTCCCTTGATTCAGAGTAACTTGCTTCTCTAAGACTGGTTCCCTAAGAATTTCTTTGGACTTTTCAGAATGGATGAACAGAGGGGAACCTTGGTGATGGCCCTTGGTGGCAGTAGTGATGTCTAGTAATGGAAGGTAACTGAGAACCAAGAGCCAACTACACCTCACGTCTCAGGACATTTGTTCGTGAAGTCTTGATTGCCTGTTACAACTTAAATGTTTATATTCCTAAATGGGACAATTTTTGTTTTTGACAAAAATAATTTGAGTACATTTTGAAACATTTAGTCTGTCACAGATTTTACACTATGTCATGGTTGTTTTCAACAGCTGGAAAATGGTGCTACATGGCAAAACCCGGAACCACCCATGGATTTAAGAATAATGGAGAAAGATCGAGCCAACTGTCCATTCTACAGTAAAACAGGAGCTTGCAGATTTGGAGATAGGTAACTAATTTTGTTTTATCATGTGATTTAAAACATCGAGATTTTGGAGTTCTCCTTTTGGGAGAGGCATGAGCTCTATTTGGAGTGTTCACCAGCTGGTGTGTGCTGCTGGTGCTTCCTTTACCTTCATATCTTTAGGAAGTCCTCTTACTTGTCAGTTTCTTCCTATGCTTACATTAGTCCATGGTGAACTTTTTTTTTAAGGTTTTTGCCATAGGGGGCATATGCTGACTAGAGAGAGACAGAGATAGAAGAAAAGTGAAAAATCATCCCTCAAGGGGGATGACCATGCTGCAATTTCCTTCTTCTCTGTTCTCCTCCTGGGATTTTGGGCACATGCACACACATGCCTGGCATGATTTTCGAGCCTCCAAGACCAGAACTCAAACCATGGTCAGCCATGTGGGAGCCCAGCACCTTTATTACCACACCACCTGCTGGCCCCCATAGTGGACAATTTGAGTGGGGTTAGTAATATATTGGAAGAGATCGGAGCAGCCTGGTTTTATTTTTTTAATGGCACACACTGTGCCCCAGATAAGCCTTTAAAATTTGGCATGTGTAAGAGGTCTGTCTATGAAAGACAGGATCAGAATGAGTAGAGGAAAAGTATTTTAGTTCCCATTGTGAGTCATCATGCTTAGACTCAGAAACAGATCTAGGTTCAAAAAGTCACTTCAGTGGCTGTCACTTTGGGAAAGTTACTTAAGCTCTGTGTGTCTTAATTCTCTCATCTGTGCAGTGAGGTTAAATAGTTTTTCATCTTTTTGGCTGAGGGTGAGCCATGAGGCTGAAATGACTGAATGCATGGGAAATACACAGAACAGGGCTGGTACATGGTGAGCACTGGGTATTTGCTGGCATTTTCATTATTGTCACTGTTGCTGTTGATCTCTGAGGCACTCTCCTTATATGTCTCTTTCAGATCAATGTTTTTGAAACAAGACATTCCTAGGGGAACCTGGTGTTGATCACTTCAGTCATTTAGTAAATATTTGAACACCTGTTGTATATGCCAGATAATGGTGATTTTTATAATTTGGCCTGTTTACTAGTTAACAATTCAAAGCAGATAAATAATTTGTGATGGAAAATGAATTCATCTGAGGCAAACTCTAATTATTGCTATATATTCTTTTTATTTTAATGCCTTATTATTTTAAAAGGGGATATGACTAGGATAATTCATTTGTATTTAACGAGAAACTATAGGTTGTCTCTTGGGTTTATTTTATTCATAAAACTATCCAAGCTGTGGATTCCTTCTTTGAAAAGGTGGACCTTCTCTTTTCTTTTTATTTCATTTTAGCTTTCGTGCCATAATTCATCTTTTAAGATCAGTGTTTCTCAACCCTGGGTGCACATTAGAATCATCTAGAAAGCTTAAAAAACATATGTCCCACCTTAACTTGAATAAAGGAGAATCTTGAGGACTTGGGTGATCTTAGTTTCAAAACGTCCTCAGGTGTTTTTTTCTTTTTCCTTTTTTTTTTTAGAATTATTTTATTTAACTTTGTTTATTTATTTGTTTATTTGTTTATTTAAATTTGACCAGAGAGGGACGAGGTAAGGGGGTAGTGAGAAAGCAACCTGCCAGGTCCAGAACTCGAACTGTGGTTGGCTATGTGGGAGTTCAGCTCCCTTAACCACCACGCCACCTGCTGGCCCCTCTCAGGTGTTTCTAATGGGACCCAGATTGAGGGCCCCTAATGGAGAGTATGTATCTCTCTATATTTTATATCTGGGATTGTACACTCTCAGAATGTCTGTACGAGGATTCATAGGGTCTAGTAACTAGTAGAAAGTCTCCTCTTGATGAACTGAAAACGAAGGGAAAGAAGTTCCCTTTGGTATCTTTATAAGCATTTCCCAAATATACAAGTAATCTCTGCAAGAAATGGTAATGATTGGACAGTGTAAAACACCCCCCCACCAAAGAAAAATGTATAGCAGATTACCTCTCAAGGACAACTGAGACTCAATATGAGTTCACATTTCTGTGAATAGTTGAACCAAACTGCATTTGTTTGCAGGTTGTATGATGCATATTTAACATTTCCTTGAAATTTGAGACTTGTGATAGCCTGATTCTAGATTCTCCTGCTCTTGGGCTTAAGTGAGAGAAAAGGAAAAGTCTTAAATGAATTCAGCAACTCTATTGACAGGTACTTCATTGTGCAAAGGGGAGTGGCCAATCAGGTTCTCAGACATCATTTCTTTTGAGTCATTTCAAGGAAATATGGACAATGGTTAATTGAATTTGTGAACATTTCTTAGTATTTTCTTGGGCATATGAAATTTTCCCATCACAACTACAATGAGCATGATTTGGGTATTTTCATCAAGTGATGAGTTACAACGTAAAATTTTGTGAAATGAGCAGTTGTGAAGTCCAGCACTACCCATTCAGACAAGCATACTATTCTGTTCCCCTTTCACAGAGAGCCTCCAGGACTTGCTCCAAATCATACAGCTGTCCTTTTCTGTTAGAATTTGTCAGCTCTTCAGAGAAACACTTTTATAACCCACGCATGCCTTTGGTGGTGTTTTTTTTTTTTTTGTAATTAGTACAAAGTTCAATTCTAGAACCTTTCTAGAATTGGTATTTTTGGGAGGAGTCACAGCTTTGAGGGGATTCTAATTTTTTTTTAACCTAACTGATCATAATCACTGATAGAAGGTAAAATGTATTTGCCTGAGTATCTATTTATACATTACCTCCTTCCAAACGTGATCTAAAGAAGGCTCATGACCTGTTGTACTAAGTTAAATAAAACAGAAAGCAAGGAAAGGAGAAGAAAATGAGTTATTGTGAACATACAGTATTTTAGATTCTGGATATTAGCACATTCCAAGTAAATAATAATCTACAGTTCAACCAAAATGGAAGAATGAGTAGTATTTAGAACAGAGATTTTTCCGGGCACCAGATTGTTACTGAGTCAACCATAATTGTACTCATATAAGGGCATTGAGTAGAAACGTTGACAACAATTTTGATAGGTGATTTATTATAGTTGCATGTATAGTTTTCATGAGGATGTTTCTGACAGCCACCTTCAATACGTGATTTCAGCCTAACTTTAGCATGCAATGTGGAACTTCTAAGGACGAGAGAGTGGGTAGTGGGACTGCCCTAAGGAGAGGAAACAGAGGAGTAGACAGTTAGCTATACCGGATGGGGCATTGGGATACTCACACCATTTATTGGCCATCCTTAGGCTAAGGTAATGTTAACTATGTGTTTTTTAATGGCAATCTGACTTAATTCAAGTGTCAATGTAATAGGTAAATAGCATGTCCTAAACCAATGATTCCCAAACAGGACTGATCTTTAGGATTAGTTAGGGAGATACTTCGAAAATATCGGCCTCCTGCCCTTGAGGTCTGATCACATGGTCTGAGGCAGCACCTGAGAAATCTGTTTTCTTCTACTTATTCTGAAAATCACACAGGCTGGGTACCACAGGTTTAGCCTGCCTTGCTAAATACCACTTCTCTTAGCTTACTTTTCAGGAGGAGCCATAGAACTGGCCTTTTGTATACACTCAGATTCTAAGGACTATCTCCAGGCCAAGTAGGGATTTTCCTTAGACAGGGACTTTGGTTCTTTTCCAACACTGATAAATGCTTATTTGACACCCTGGGAATTAGAACCAAGTTCATTCAGATCTAATACTCTCATGAACAGAATTTTAACTTAAAGTGGTTCTTTTATTTAATCCTGCTCATGAACAGAATTTTAACTTAAAGTGGTTCCCTTATTTAATGCTATGTACACTTGTATTTGTAAAAGTTTGATTTACTGCTAACGTTGCCAGCCAGGTTGAATCCTTGTGCTTTGTTCTGTTGATAGCTATACTTGGAAAGATACATGTAATTACAAGGTCTGTAATTGAATATTCCAGAAGGTCAGTTGGAAAATAGAAAATTTTACGTTAATGAACTCTGAACATTTCTGAGTGGGGCACAGTGTGTTCTGGGCATTCTCATTAGATGTATATTGCAGAAATAGAAAGTGAGTGTGGTGTGATTGTATACTTAATCTTTATAGGACCATTGTATTTTTCCAGCACTTGCCCTGTTCTTCAATTTTCTCTCTTCTATGGATTTTTTTCCCTAAATTTTTTTCTCTTACTGATTTTTCATTTTTAACTTTTAAAATGTATTTATTTATTCCATGAGCAAGAAAGACAGTCAGAGACACAGCACCCCTGGCAGGGTCTCAGTTCCCACCATCCACACCTAGCTTTAGCTGGCCCAGAGCACATGTGTGCCTGGCCTACTTAGGAACATCTCGGGACCTGAACTGGCAACCTTCCCATGTGGGTCACTCACAGAGTCTCATGCTTTACAACTGCACCACCATCTAGCTGTGGTCTTACCTATTTTTATTTTTTATTTACCAGATGGTACATGCACTCACTAGAGAGAGACAGAGGGAGAGGGGAAAAGCATCTTCCAGCAGAGCATGGTCATATTTCTTCTCCATTTCTCCATTCTGTCAGGATTTGAGGCACACATGCATGCACATGTGCCTGATATGTTTTTTAAGTTGCTGAGGCTGGAATTGGAACCATGTGGTCGGTCATGTGGGAGCTGGCTCCCTTAACCACTAGGCCACAGGGCCAGTCCCTAACTTTTAACTAGAAATTTAACCAGGAAAATCTTGTATATTTGGATTTTTGTTACAGGGCCCATGCGCTCGCCAGAGAGACAGAGAGACATACAGCGAGAAATCACCCCCTAGGGGGGATGGCCACCTCACAATCCCTTCTTCTCCATTCTCTTGGGATCTTGGGCACGCACGTACCACATGCCCGGCGTGAGATTAAGCCACCAGGTCCAGGACTTGAACCGCGGTCGACTACGTGGGAGTTCAGTGACATAGCCATGACACTAACTGCTGGTCCCTATATTTGGAATTTTTTTTTTTTAATTAAAACGATTTTTTTTTCTATAGGGCATATGCGCTCACCGGAAAGACTGAGAGAGACAGAGACTGAAAGTGAAAAATCACCCCCCGGGGGGATGGCCACACTGCAGTCACTTCTTCTCCTTCTTTTGGGAGCTTATGCACGCATGCACACGTGCCTGGTGTGAGTTTAAGCTGCCAGGTCCAGGAATAGAACTGTAGTCAACTATGTGGGAGTCCAGCAATGTAACTATTACACCATCTGCTGGTCCCATATTTGGAATCTTGAACCACATTTTTTTCCTCATTTTGGAAAGAAGTAAATAAGAAAGTAAACTCATATGAAGGATTTTTTAAAAATCACTTAGACTGATCAGTTTAGACTTGGTCTATTATGAACTATGAAAATAAAGATTTTTTTTTTTTGAGAGGTTTTCACTATAGGGCACGTGCGCTCACCAGAAAGACAGAGAGAGAGATAGAGAGAAAGTGAGAAATCATCCCCCAGGGGGGATGGCCATGCCACAATCCCTTCTCCTCCATTCTCCTCTTGGGATCGTGGGCACGTACACACACGCGCCCAGCATGAGTTTAAGCCACCGGGTCTGGGACTGAACTGCAGTCGACTACATGGGAGTTCAGCGACATAGCCATTACGCTAACTTCTGGTCCCAATAAAGTTGTTTTTCGTAACGGTTAGTCACCTTCATTAAATAAAAATCAAAGTATATTTATTATACCCTATAATGAACAGGCATCAAGTAAGTATACGTTAACTCCAATCTCTTAGACCCATCTCTTCCCAGCCATCTGACTTGGGTATGTGTGCTTCTCTAGACTTCAGTATTTTTCTGGCAAAGTGGGAAAAATACTAGCCAAAGTGTCTCAATGGGTTGCAAGAATCAAAAGGAAAATATAAAAATGCTATCCATATATGAGATTGAAATATTCTATAACTGGAAATTCTTAGATTACCTATTCTTTAAGCTTGTGAGTTAAAGGAGTTGAAGATAGTATAGAGCCTGGGTTGTATTGTTCATTCTCACCCTCCTCCCAAGAGTCCACATGTGGTATCTTTGTGCCTATCATCACAACGTGTCATACCAGTGAGCCTTCTTTTCCCCTTTGGTTCAATATATATAAGGCTTCCTAAACTTCATTTGAAGGCAGTGTAATGGCATATCGTCTTGAAAATCATTCCCAATGTGACACTTTTTTTAAAAACTTCATATTTATTTCATGAGAGAGAAACACTCTCAACAGAGTCTCACGCCATGATCCTACCTCCAGCCTTTCCTAGCCAACCAGGATCACAGGCACTACTGCCACCTCCAGTATGTACAGGTCTATCTTGGAACTAAATCCTAATCTTCCATATGGCCTCCAGCATTACAGTGACTACTGCTGCACCACAGCTGGGGCCCCCGTTGACAATTTTTTTTTAAAATTTTGTCAGGCATGCATTTGCTAGAGAAAAGAGGAAAGTAAGAAAGCATCCCCCATGGGGCATGGTCACATCACAATCCCTTCTCCTCCATGACTCCCTCTTGTTGGGATTTTGGGCATCTGTACACATATGCCCAGTGTATTTTTCAAGCCATTGGGTCATGTGGGATCTAGCTGCCTTAACCATAAGCTAGCCCCCCCACCCCAACTTGACTGTTCTTTAAAACGTTTTCCTATAGGGTGCATGTGCTCACCAGGGAGAGAGAGAGGGTGAAAGTGAGAAATCACCCCTCCAGGGGGAATGGCCACACTGCAGTCTCTTCTCCTCTGATCTCCTCTCAGAATTTTGGGCACGCACGCACATGCACCTGGCATGATCTTTATGCTGCCGAATCCAATACTTGAACCAAGTCGGCCATGTGGGACCCAGCCATCCCAATCTCTGTGCCTCCTGCTGACTCCCAACTTGACATTTTAATGAGAGTCAGTATACTGGTCAGTTTTTAGAACAGTTTAAGAAAACTTAGAATAGGGACCAGCAGTTAGTGTAATGGCTATGTCACTGGACTCCCATGTAGTCAACCGCGATTCGAGTCCCGGACCCAGTGGCTTAAACTCACGCCGGGCGCGTGTGCATGCGTGCCCAAGATCCTGAGAGGAGAATGGAGGAGAAGGGATAAAAACTTGAGAATGGTTTTTTTTTTTTTTTTTTTGAGAGGTTTTTGCTTTAGGGTGCATGCGCTCACCAGACAGACAGGAAGGGGCAGAGAGACAGAAAGCGAGAAATCACCCCTCAAGGGGGATGGCCATCCCGCAATCCCTTCTCCTCTTGGGATCTTGGGCACACATGCACACGCGCCCACCATGTGTTTAAGCCACCGGGTCCGGGACTCAAACCGCAGTCGACTACATGGGAGTCCAGTGACATAGCCATTATGCTAACTGCTGGTCCCTTTTTACATCTTTTTTTTTTTTTTTTTAAGAATAGCTTTTTAAAGTGCTAAAACTCTCTATCTGCATGGAGTTTATTATCTTACAGTTAAGTCAAAACAGCTGAGCAACTTGAATCTTTATCTCAAAATTGAAAGCTGACTTCTTATTTGTAATTTTTAACTATTGGCCTAGTGAATTGGTTTTTCTTTCACATGCAGGTGTTCTCGTAAACATAATTTCCCAGCGTCGAGCCCCACCCTTCTTATTAGAAGCATGTTTACAACATTTGGAATGGAGCAGTGCCGGAGAGATGATTATGACCCTGATGCAAGCCTGGAGTACAGCGAAGAGGAGACCTACCAGCAGTTCCTAGACTTCTATGATGATGTGCTTCCCGAATTCAAGAACGTGGGGAAAGTGATTCAGTTCAAGGTGGGTGTATATGTGGCAGAGGGCACTGGTTCACATCACCCAGTACCACAAGAGATCTGGGGCACAGGCTCTTCGCCTGGGTGGAGAGCTGTGTCTGATGGTACATGTCTGGGCCAAAGTCGAGCACACACATACATGCTTGGCAAATGTTACTTCTTTCTCTCTCCCTTTCTACCCCTCCTCCTTGCCTTAGAGATATCACATGAAATCATAAACACACATTAACATATTTCCTGAATGTTAATGTCTATATTGGAAGGGATCTTTCATTTCTTCAGTACCTTCACGCTCCCACTCTTTTCTAGCTTATGAATTCTCTGTATCAGGCTCTCTGCACATAGCTGTCTAAGCCTTCACTTAGATGCTACATAAGGTGGAAAGTGTGCCCCTTTCCTTCTTCTGTAGGAAGAAGCTTAGAGCTGCAGTGTATGTGTTGGGACACGATTCCACTCACTGAGTATGTTGGTGCATTGCCTCAATGGTGCCTGCCTTGCAGCTTTCACCCAAGGTGCACATTCTTTCTTCTGAAGCTATATAAGAACATAAATCTTGATTTCTTTTTCATTTTTTCTATGAGAAAAAGAGGGGGGACACTTCCAACAGGGTCTTTATGCCATGGTCCATCTTCAGTCAGCCAGGATCACAGGTCTGTATGCACATAACTGGTATGCACAGGAAGACCTCAGGACAGAAACCAGGGTCCTACCTATATGGCTTCCACATCACAGAGAGTTGTGTTACCACTGTACTACTCTAGCTAGCCTTAAACCCTTTTTTCAGACATGGTGATCATTGGATACTTTCAGTACTGAACACAGTATTCCACGGTTTGTGATGCAACATACTGAGTGAAAAAGAGGCATTGAGATTACACATCATTATTCTATTGGGTTGTTGGAAAAATCATGATGTATTTTTTTTCTATTTTCTATGCAAATTTCAACTTTTTTGAGTGAGAAGTTTTTGCTATAGGGTGCATGCAGTCACTGGTGAAACAGAAAGTGAGAAATCACCTCCCCATAGGGGATGGCCATGCTGTAATCCCTTCTCCTTTATTCCCCTCTTAGAATTTTGGGCACACACATACACCCAGCATGAGTTTCAAGCTTCTAGGTCTGGGACTTGAACTGCAGTCAGCCATGTGGGAGTCCAGTACCTTAACCACCATGCCACCTGCTGGTCCCTAGATTTGTCATTTTTTTAAGGCAAATGAAGAAATGTTCAACCTAACTAGTAATAGGAACAATGCATATGAAAATGGGATCTTGTTCACACCCAGCAGACAAAATATTTTAAATTGCATTAATACCAAGAGTAGGTGAGGATGTATAACTTTACAGAACCACTCCAGAGAGCAGTTTGTCAATACTGGTGACACAGAAAGTAGACATAAGCTACAAATTGGGATACTCCTAGTTCTACACCCCAGAAAGAGCCTCACAGCCACAGAGACCTGCAGAGGAGTGCTGGCTGCAATACTGTTGTAGATGAAAAGTTGGAAGCACCTGGCTAACCATCATTAAAAGAGTAGATAAATGCATTTGATAATTGGATATATCCAGGATACAGTAATTCAAATGAGTCATTAAGTTTACGTGATTACATCTTAAAAAAAGAATGTGGAAAAAAAAAGGTATTTAAATAAAATCGTAAAGCAATACTATACATTGCTTATCAATCTATATTACAGGTTTCTTTGGATGTGTGTGTACATAAATCTTTGTATACCCATTGCACATAACAGACACACATTTGCATGTATGCTGTGTGTGTGTATGTATATATTCCTTGGCACACATATGATGTGTGTGTGTGCATGTCAGTGTATATATGTATGTTTGTGCCTCTGTTGATCTGTGGATGCGTGTTGCATCTGGAATATGAAGACTACACCCATCCTCTGGCTAGTACTTACCTGTGTGATGGAGGAGAGAGAATAGGATGGAAAAGCTTCTGCTGGGTCCTTAACATTTTACTTACTGAATCATTTTCAGTGAAAAATGCAAGTTGTTTCTATTGAATCTGGCAGTATATATATGGGCTGATTGGTATTTTTGTGAGAAACATTTCGTATTTGTGGGGGAAAAAAAACAGACCTGGATCAACAGGGATCAGATCATGAGAACCTGCGGTATGTCTTAAATAGACTTGAAAGTGGACTGGTATTTCTCAGAATCTTTCGTGGTTTTTACTTTTGAGACTGTTCACCTGGACAGAGTGCATTTGGCTGGTTTCTTTCCCTTAGTTTCTTATGATTGCAATCTTCATTCTCCTTAGGTCAGCTGCAACTTGGAACCTCATCTGAGAGGCAACGTGTATGTTCAGTACCAATCGTAAGTATTCTGAGCATAGTCTTCATGTTTTGTCATGGTGTATTTTGTTCCTGTTGACAGCTGGGATTTTCCCACTGGATATATAGCTTTTATATGTATGGTATTTTTTAGAAATATAAATATTAAGGGACCAGCAGACGATGTAATGGTTACGTCACTGGACTCCCACGTAATTGAGTGCAGTTCGAGCCCTGAACGCAGCAGCTTAAAACTCATCCTGGGCGCGTGTATGTGCATGTCCAAACTCCCAAGAGGAACTGGAGGAGAAGGGATTGCAGCATGGCCATCTCCCTCTGGGAGGTGATTTCTCGCTTTCTGTCTCTCTGGCTCTATGGCAAGTGCATGTGCCCTATAGGAAAAATCTCTCTTAAAAAAAAAAAGAAAAGAAATATAAATATTAAGAGCTAAATATAGAAATATAGAAGGGATTTGAAATTTATACATTTGTATTTCATTCCGTGTATACCTACATAGTTTGGAATCTTTTACAATATGGTTACATTATGAGGTAATCTTGGAATTAAAATCCAAACTGAAAAGGAATAGCTAGAGCAGAGAATATAAAAGAATAAATCAAAAGAGCCAGAGATCGAAGCCCAAAATAATCTGGGTGTGGACCAGCCCGGCCCGGAGAGAGCAGTTACTGTATCATTC